AAGCGCTAAATAAATGTGGCAATGAGACCTCAATTGATCTGGCACATCACACCTTATGCCTTATCTTTTTTTCGTGTTTTTTTTTTTTGATATAGATTAATGACATACTATACGTGTATAGAATGAAAAACAAAGAAAAACAAGATATTTTTGTTTGAGAATTATTTTTGAATGCGAAGCAGGTTAAACTCGATGTTCGTATAAGATAAAAGAAAATTTACAAAACATATTAATCAACTTTGACTTTTACACTAATGAGATTTTATATATAAGTTATGAAAATTTTTTTAGTTAAAATATAGAAAAATTCTGGTAGAATTCGTTATCTAGACTTATAAAAACAAAATATATATATATATCTATGTATGTAATAGTTAGACTACATTTTCATGAATATTTTTACATATTTGTTTTATCTTGATAAAATATTTCTAAAGAAAATCAACTTACCTTTATATTGAGTACTAGCAAGTTTTTCAGTCCATTTAATATATGGTACAAGTCGTTTATTCACCGAATAACATGGATGACGTTGGGCAAGATTTTCACGATAATTATTAACAGCTATTGTCAAACATAATGATGAAAGAAATAATAAAATACTTTTTCTTAGAGAATATTTAATAAACATATTTGTTGTAATGAATTTCAATTTGTTAATACATCATTTTTATTGATCATGTCGAAACATTTTATTTATGATTAACAAATATCTATATCAAGAAGAAAACATAATTATAGAACATTAAGAAATAAAAATCCATCGACAAATAATTTGCTGTTTGTGCAAAACTATCCTAGAGGCACATGTATGTACACGCTTTTCTCTCTCTCTCTCTCTCTTGTGTTTTTTCTATACTATGACCTTCACTTACACTTGTCTTTTCAACCTATAGTGCTCTCTCTTTTTTTTTCTTTCTTTTCTTCAATTTTTTTACGCTCTCCTTTTTTATTTCTATAGCTCATTCTTTTTTTTTGTTTGTACTGATCAATCTAATCTTCTATTAATTTCTATTTTTTGTTGATAATGATAGATAAAGATATCAAAAGCAACAACTGTAATGTGAACCATTGATAAACTAAGTTTCAACACTTACATACCCTTATTGTTTTTTTCTTTCATATCTTTTTAAACGACGAAAAAAAACAAAATGAAAAAAAAGAAAAACAATTGACTCATAAAAGTGAGTTTTAAATGATGATGCAATTATATATAACATAGAAAGAAAAAAAACTAACAATGAGAGTATGAATTTTCATTCAAAATTGTATAATATCGATCTTTTTATAACATGTGTAAGTTATTCGTACACGTGCAATGGCACGTAAACACATATATCATGGTTCACTTCTTGTAAGCATATGCGTGCAATGGAATGTCGAGTGGTAATATTGAAGGAGGAGAAGAAGCAGAACAAAGAGAACAAGAGAACGCGATTCTTTGCTTTAGTTTTTTTGCATCTTGTTGTCTCTCTACTCCCTCCCCCTTCCCCCCGCGTCGTTTCCCTTCTATCCATTCCTCACCTTCGCATTACTGGCATCATCTGTTCTCTTCTCCCTTACTATTCACTTTCATCAATATTGTTGTGAGACACACACATTTGCACACAACTATGCATACATATCTACTTGATTCTTCACAGATACCTTCCGGATTAATAATAGCTTTATTTCTGTAATAACCTCGCTACGGATAATGTTTTACAATCTGACAAACAAACCCATGTGTGTAGTTCTCATTTTTCCTTCTATATATAATTCTTTTTTTGATCTTCAAGGACATAAGTCACAGTGTGCATGATCAACGATGAAGAAGAAAAATGTGAAGGACAAGTATTGTCTTGCTATTAACAATCTACATAAACAGCAAGTAAAGAAAAAAAAACATGGTATCCTGTATATATGTCCAAATATTGACGAGACGTAACATGATAAAGAGAGAGAGAGAGAAGAAGAAAACTTGCCATGTAGCCACTTAGATATCAGTGAAAACATATGTATCTATCTATTTGCAAGTGTTGATATTGTCATCAATGATCTAAGACTATATAACTCCTGTTGTTTTATAGAATGATGATAATAATAAGAACAATACAAAGCGAACAACAACAACAACAAAAAAACAGATCATATTGAGCTATATATATACATATTGAAGGATTAGAAAAAAATTCAAATAATAAATTTATTCTTGAGTTCTTTTTCATCAATTGTAAAAAAAAAGTACTTGACTTTTCAAGTATACTTTATAGAGACAATATCAAATAAATATTTTCATGTAAATGTAGAACAAATGATAAACAAAAAAAAAGCAAAAAGATGTTGTCTTTATCAGATAATAGATTTCATCAAATATTTTATCAATTACACGTTAACATCATCTCTGTATTTGAGAACAACGTACATCTTATCGATATATATATTGTAAGAGATATTGTTCATGAAAATTACTCTCATTCTTATTTCGGACTCATATGTTTACCTTGAAGCAAAGTTTTTTTTTTTTTTTAATATATACTTCTAAGTATAGTCAATTGGATTCGAATAATGGAACAGCTGGTACAAAATCAGTCAATTAAAACAACAGATTTTATTTATATTTCTATAAAAAATATACATCCTTTACTCAAACTCTTACTGTTATTTTTATATTCTTTTGTCTTTAAACAAACCACAAATGATATCCTTGAGATAAAAATTATTTTTCTTTTCTCGGAAATTTACCTTTTTTTCTCTTTATTTAAAAAAATGTAATGAATAATGAGACATGCATGTATATATATGCTTGACTATCAAAAACTAGAAATATGAGGAGAAAATGTAATCAACCTTAGGTAAACGAGTTTGAAGGAAAAAAAAACGTATGACATAGAATTCTAACGGAATTTGTTAGTCTATGAGTTTTTCTTCATCTTCTTTGCAATATATCACACAATCGTGAATAGTTAAACGAACGATAAACAGAATTTATAGACGAACAAATAAATAATAGATAATGCTTTAGGGTGAGAAAACATGAAATGTGATCATGTCTATGCTAGAAAAATAAAACAGAACAACAAAATCATATTTGTTCGATATCAATGATGAGAAGAAGAAGCAAAAAAAAACCAGTATACATACCAAACTTATACGGAAAGTTGACAATCAATATGATGAGACAGTTAGTACATGGCATGTATGTATAGAAAGAAAGTTGACAGAATGATTTATTGACATAAGCTTGCGCGTCTGCTCTTTTAGAATTATATGTTGATCTCAACAGCAGGTGACAATAGCTGTTGTATATAATGGCCATGAATCATTTGAATAGGATATTGTGATATGAGGAAAAAGAAAGTAATAGATTGTCGACATGAAGAAGATGATGCGTCAAAGAAAAAAAAGAGCATAAATATATTGATGTGATCTCGTTTTTTCTTTTTTTTCTCTTCTCTTAACAAACAAACGTAAAATAATCGATATACTTTATATAACTATTTACATATTCTCAGCTGAACAACCAGACAAAACGAAGAGATAGGTCATCATATGTTTATTTCTGTTTTGAATAAATACTACACTCATACTGTGTTATCATAGGAGGATTAATTTATTTTTCTTGTGAGTGATTTATACATTTTATTAGAAGGAAAATAATTTAAGTTACATTGTTTTTTTTTCTACATTCTTCTGTCATAAAAATATATTCTTGTCTATTATGGAATGTAACTTAATTTCTTTTCTGTTATTTTATTGATATCTATTATACACTTTTAAATGAAATATTGTGCAACTATATTTATATATTGTATTCACAATATATGTATAACCTTAGATCATTTTGCAATCTATCGATCGTTTTCAAGCATCATTATTCGTCATTTATATATTTAATTGAGCTAATGATAACCTTGAACATACATACATTTATATATATAATTGGTTAGCAATACACTAGAAGAAATTAACAACAACATACAAAGTAAATAACCGCAAAAAAAAAAGAAGAAGAAAAAACGCGGTCACGATACATTGGTATCATCAATTTGCACATATGTAAATGGCTTCTAATGAGCCATACATTTCTGTTTTATATTAGATAGTGTTAGATGACAAATCGACAGTGACATTACTGTGAACAGTACCTCGGTCGATATTGCTTCATCAATATTTTTTGTTCTCATTCATTGTATGTTGTCGATGTCGATTAACACTAGCTATTCATCAAAATAGAACGAACTTGAAAGAAATACATTATGAATATAAGTAATAAAATCAAGCAAGATTAGCGAAGAACAATATTCGAGTTATGACAAATGATCATGTCGTTTCATGGTCAAATTCTATAGAAACAATAAGCAAATGAAAAGTAGTTTCTAACAAATGATAATACCTCAGAATAAATGTCCCTGTAGTATTATACTTATATTTGATTGATATCTTTTTTTTTTCAAGATTTATCATGATTACATATGAGGTAAAAATCATTGATGTACACATTTTGAATGACAAGATTTTTGATATGCATTATTTAGATTTGAGTTTATTACTTAACATTATACAAAAAAATATTTTTTTTAAACTGTTATCTATCATTATTACTCTTAGTAAATATCAAGGGGGAAAAAGCTGATTGCAATCAAAGCAATCATTGACAATCATTGACAATCATCGACAATCATTGACAATCAACAATAATCAAGATGATTTCCTGTCGAAATCGACAAAAATAGCCTTATTTTCCTTATCTTTCATTTCAGAATGTTGTAACAGCATATTGTTTATCGGCATACAACTTGTTAATATAGAGTATACGTCATGAATAGTAGACACTATAAAAATAACTTGGATATCGTTCTCTCATGATGTGCTCACGTGATTGTAGTAAGAGAAACGAAAAAAAATCATTCTTCTCCATTTTTCTCTTCACTTCATTTCCATCTATTTGTTAACTATACACACATACTGATTGTTATACATTTTCTTTTATTGATCTATTTCTCTTTAAACATTTAAATATGGACACAAGATCTCTTCCATTTAATATTATGGATCTTCGAGATGAGGCATTTTATGATTTTATTCGTCAGTTTGCAGGAAGAAAAGTGGCGGAACTGATGTCTTTTCAAGAGTGCAATAGTGTTGACTCATTTCTAGGGTGCAACGATATATTTGCTATTCTTCATCTCGATTCTGATGAAATATTTAATCTTAAAAAAAGCATCTGTATCACATTGAATGATGGCTCGATTTATCTTCTACCAGGTGTTGAAGCGTCTGTTAACAATCTTACTAAATTATTTAAAAAGAAACGAGAAGAACTTCTTAAACAATCTCAACGACGTCAATCCATTACTATTGCTTCAGTTTCATCTGTTCCCAACATTATGTCAACTAATTTAGCAACACCACCTGTAATTGTGGATAATTATTCCATTAACTCATCCACATCTAATATTTCGTCTGATCTGAACCAAGGTATTTCACCAGCAATGACTCATCTTCTTACATATGAAATTAAAAGTCGTATTGTAAATACAGTTATCGAATGGCTTAAACAAAATAGTGAAAAATTATCTTTGGTAAATATGAATTTTCAAGAAGATATTGATTTCAAAGTCGAATTGAACAATTCTCAAGATGGTATTATTATTCGATGTAAATGTGGCACAAAACATGCCATCGGTCAAGGGCGAGGAGTTCTTGTAGTAAGTAGTTATTGATTCTTGTTCTTTTAATATTTCATACAACATCTGATCTTTCAAATATTAAATATAAATTTGTGTAGAATTATGTTTTAAATTAGGTTTAATTTTATATCTTTTCAGAACATTAAATTTCAATGGCAGTCTTTATATAACTGATTAGTTTATAAGGCACTATATAATTTTTCAAAAACCAATGCCATCATTTGTGCAAAGATAGTTCGAAATTCATATAAACAATCAGATAAACTTAAAACAAAAATAACGTAATAAAAATGAAACAAAGTTCCCGAATCAGAATTGCTAAGATTGTATGAGTCTATTTGCTCATATTTCTCAACACCATCATCAAAAACTGGTCTGACTGAAAATTTTCAGAATCGGTGTAACAAGTGACAGACCATAGCTTGTAGTATTTAAAGTAAAATAGATTCTTGGTGGCATTTCAGCCCATTAATCTTCAAATGAGTTCAATCACCATAATATTAGATGTAAGGATAGAATACATAGTCAAAAGATCTTATCTATCATCGGATTACTATCTATTATAGCTAATTCTGGACAAAGCGACAATTTTGGGTATCCAAACTAGATCTAAAGGAATTTCTGGAATAAAGCAAAAGTGCATTTTTTTTATTGAACTCACTTTAAATCATACACGATCATATCTACTATCATTGAGTTGAATAAGTATTATAGTTAAATAGTTAGCGACGTTGGACTAGCATAACATTGCGGTTACTCAGCCTTTCACTAAGATTTTTGAAGAATATATATGCAATAAGATATTTCATATCGCAATGTTTAAGCGATTGAAATGAATGGTTTATTTTCTTCACTGAATGACAAAGAATGTACAACAGAGCACTAGACTTTCTTAGTAGATAAATAATCACCAATACATTTATTTCTTGACTCAAATCAAAAAACTGCGTCGCACATAATTTTTTCTTTCAGAAAAAATATTTTTACAAAAACTTTGTTCCTTATGCTTAATTCAGTTAAGCTAAGAATTTATTTAAAAGATACAACTTTTATTTGGTTATATTTCTCTCGAGTACATTCATTGTAAAAGATCTAGTTCTTTTAGATTAATAATTGTTAGTGAATGCGTTTCATAGATAATATTATATTTTTTCTCCACGTACACTTCTAAGATCGAATTAATTTTTTAGTTTAACCAATCATTAAGTCTTCGATAGATAATTCTCCGTAATAAACAGAATTTCTTGTTTTAGTTCTCCAACATTTATCGACATTTTAAATCACAAAAATGTTCGATGATAATTGAAAAACAACGTCGATCCGAAAGCCACAATACACATACAACTGAAGTAAATGAGAATTGTTCGACGTCAATGATCACAACAAACTCAAACTTATCCATGTCAACATCATCAACTCAAAAGGAACTTAATTCTGTTGATCCTCCATTACACAGCAGCAAACGTCGTACTGATTTATCTTCTAATACTTCGAAGTCAAAGAGAAAACGACGTAATTAAAATATTTCGCTTTTCGACATTGTTTTTTTGTTATAGATTTTAATTTAAACTTCTGTATACAACTCTTGTTTTTTTTTATTTTTATATACTATTTATTCTTGATGTGCTGATATAGGCAGATTACGATTAAGTTTCGAAACAAATTTATGTGCTGTTTATTTGTTTTCACTGTTTTACTATTGATTTTTTGTCTGTAATGTCAAGTTAAATTACTACTTTTTCAGATTTCAATATCACGCACTAATAATTTATATATATTCTATCTTGCTTGATGCAAAAAACATTAATGGCTCCAACATTACCAGTTAATGTCTTCAAGCTTCGTGGTGAAGAATTTTTTCAACTTGTACAAGAACAATGTGGTGCTACTATGGTCGAAATTTTACGATACCTCGAGGTGATGTCGGCTGATTGCCTTCTTCATATTGAAGATCTTTTTGCTTTTTTCCATTATGATTCACCTGACCTTCTACCCATAAAAAAGAAAGTTGGAATTACCCTTAATGATGGAAGTTTTAAAGTGAAGGTTGGTCTTTCTATTCAAGCCAATAACTTCATACAATCTTTAAAAACATTTCAACAACAAGAAACTTTTTTTTCATCTACTGACTTAACTATTCCTGCTGTTCTTCTCGATCGATATCCTATTCTTCGACAAATTGTGCCGTTTTTTGTGAATGATTCACCAGAACGAAGTGATACTCGTATTAAATTCAAACGCACATTAATCAAAACTATAATTATGAATCACGATCGAGTGAAATGTCGTTTTTCCTACGATTCTTCTATACGTGAATTTGCTTCTTGTATCTTTATTCTCGGTGGTCGTAACGTGTACGAATTCATTCATATCAACATACCAGGTCTTCTTCCAAGTTTGACTGTAATTCAGGCTTTGATCGATTCTAGCACAAATAATCTTCAAGAAGGTGAATTTAGATATGATGCTATGTCTGATTATCTTTCATCGAAGAGATAGAAGTTTGTTTTTGCTGCCGAAGATTGTACTTCTGTTATACCAAAAATAACATATAACATATAACGTTCAGTCAAATACTTTTACTGGTTTTACACCACCATTCAAGAATGGTCTACCACAAATCAATACATTTTCTACTGAATCGTTTTCAGAACTCGAACATTGGTCTTCTACACTTGCCATATCCAATCTTCTAAATGTCCATATGATTCAGCCAATCACTGTAGCATCTAATTCTTGTTCTCCATTTTTGTTGTCGGCTTATGGCACTGATAATCGTTTTATCACCGAAGACATCATACTTCGATGGGTGAACATGGTCGATGAATGTGTTAAAAGGGAAATAAATTTGGTTGGATTTGCAACTGATTGCGACTCTCGGTATTTACGCTCAATGCGTCTTTTAATGGGATTTTTTGCAACTATGTCAAATCAGAAATTTCATCAACGCAAAAATGCTTTTCATGTAAACATTCCTCCAGTGAGTTACATCTTTTAAGTTCTAACATTTCCCATTAGATCTTGATTATCTTATCCTTATTCTATAGTCATGGTCATGGTTTTTCATGCGCAACAAGCAGCTTATTTTATTTTCCCAGGATAGCATTCATTTGTGTACAAAGTTGAGAAATCGGTTATTATCATCTACAGCTTCAATGATGATGGGTAATCATATTATAACTGTTGATCATCTTCTTCAACTGATTAAATCATCATCATCAGAACTGATTCACAATTTGGTAAAATCTGATATTCGACCAAAGGACAGGCAAAATTATCCGTCATGTGAAAAGATATCAAGCGAAGCTGTACTTAATGCTCTTTCGTCAATTCTATATTCAAAAGCCACTCAAATCTATCTTCAAGTAAGTTTACTCCAAACTTGTAGAAGTTATTGAAACTTTTCTTTTTTAATTCATCGAATTTTTATACTAAAATAAAAACAATCATCTCTTTATAAGATAGATAATCGTCTTCGAATAAAATTCCATCTAGGAATATAAAGAAAGATAACCAAATCAGTACTGTTAGGTGCATTATTATTTTCTGTATGAGATTATCTTTTAGACTTACATTTTCGCGATACTATCTTATACTTGTTCACAAATGAACATTTGTGTGAAGATTCCATGAAAAACAGAAAAGTTGACTACCGGAACAGTTCTTAGAACATTGTAACAGATATATGGTTTAGAAATATTTCCTGGAATAATTTTTAAATTCTCATTTATAGAAAAAGTAAAACACTACTGACAATCGCGGCATGATCTTTTGCAATCATACATACACATATACTAGCGATTGTCATAATGACAGGTTAACAATCAGTCTGAATCTTTTATAATGATATGTATAAGTAAGACTATAAACCTTTTATGTCTATAAAACCTTTCAAAAATTAAAATCGATCAAGACACCTATTCTTCTTGAGACGATATCTACGATGAGTAGTTCATGTTAAAAGATTCTAATACTTTGAAATATAAATTACGTACTTGGATTATAGTGAAGCTTTTCGAAAAGCTGCCACTTAGATATAATAAGAGAACAATTTCAGAATTTACTAAAGGATAATATATCTCACAAATTTGACCACTTGATCCCGTAAAAACTTATGGACTAAGTTTATTTTAAATTTTCGAGACTGAAGGTAACAAAACATCTCGAAAAAAATTCTACGAATTGTATTTTGACTTATTTGCAGATAATTCGAAATACTCGATTTGCTTTTATATCTACGGAAACATCATATGTTGATCGTATATATTTCGCATGGCTTAATGTATTTATCATTCGATTTTGGCGTATCTGGTTAAATAAAAAAAAGAAATCTGATCTCGATTCAGCTCTCGATCGACTAAATTCTTCAAATCAAGATATAAAAATTAATACAAAGCGGCAATACTTTATGAGTCTTCCAGCCTTGTTCTCAATGGAGATAAACAGTCATACACTTGTATATATCGCATTACTGGTTATGCAGCATCAATTACCCGAAGAGTGTCTGAACATATCTTTGTTTAACTCTCAATCTTGTGAAAGACAATTTCGTTTATGTAGAGCCATGTCAGGACCATTTTCGTCTATCGTGAACTTCACCGTTCATCAATTTATACAACGTGTAAAAAAACTATCTTATCTTCATTCAATTAAATACCAAAACAATAATAAAAGTAACAACACTGATTCTGATGCAAATTTACTTTTTCCAAAGCATCATAAACATCCTGAAAGTGTTCAGCCTGGAAGAAATGCTTCTTTATCATCATCTGTTAAGCCACTTACAATCGAAATGATTGAAGAATCTATTTCAAAAGCCTATTCGAATGCAAGTCGCCTTATGTGTGAGGTAAATCTTTATCAGCATCATGAAATTCCATCTTTAGATGAAATGTCTCGACTTGCCAGTCTCCAACTTCAAAAGTTAGAAATTGTCGAATCTTCGATTCCAGGTGAAAGCGAGCTAGATATGGAATCTGATTCCGACGATAGCAATTCGGATAAAGAAATAGTTACAACTGAAGATGAATCATCTGATGAAGATTCAATTCTAAATGATGAAGTTTTGTCCGACAATTTGACGGCTGTCAGTGCAGTAACATACCAAGGAATGAGAGTTTTTGACTCCATTAATCCAAATTTATCGAAGTCATATTTTGTTATCAATATCAACGGCACGAAAAAATATTTGCATAAGCAAACAGCTGTATGGCTACTTTCAAATGAAAAGGCAACTATATCATCTGATCGCATGAGACGCTTTATGACTAATAGAAAAACTTCATTGCTATCTTTTCGCTACATTGTTATGTCTCATCGTTAATGGTACTATGAAATATATTTTTGAAAACTCATTTCAACAAAAACAAAAGAAATTAGTGAATTGTCATACTTTTCTTTAAAAATGTAACGATCAGACTTCCATATCCCTATTTTGAATAGACAAATTGTGAATTTTTTCAGCTACAATGAAGCCTTTTTCTCCATACCGAGAGATAAAATTTTGAAATATACTATAAAACAAACTTGACTGAAGCATTTCTAGATATAAAAAAGTGTTTGTAACCATTGGCAATCATTGGCAATCATTGACAATCATCGACAATCATTGACAATCATCGACAATCATTGACAATCTTTGACAATCTTTGACAATCATTGACAATCATTGACAATCTATGCAATCAAGTAATCAGCTTTTTCCCCCTTGGTAAATATTTTCAAAACAAGTTTTATGTTTCGTTTGATTCATTCGTATTTAAACATTATGATATTTTCAGATAGAATTTCAATAAATGATATGTGATTATATAGTTTTTGTTTAGTATTTAAATATGCTGTTACATATACAATACATTAATAAATGAAATAAAACTAAATTTCAAGCAATGCATTATTTGTCACGCGATGTTTAGAAAAAGGAACTTGAATATTGACATACAAAATAATAGAGTACTTAACCGATCATTATAGTGAAAATTATATGAATAAATAAGAATGAATTTTATTCGATAGAATTATTTTTAATTATATATCTTGTACAGAGAAGCAAATGCTAATATAAATTCTCAAAGATAGATTCTATAGAAAACTATAACACTAGTTTTTCAACATTTAAAACATGTAAATTTAACTTTGTTTGGATTTTATTGAATGATAGAGCAAACCAATCTGTATAAAAAGACATATCACCGAATTGTCTATGACTTTTTTTTGGCTGAGATACAATAATGTCACGAAAACTTCTTAAGTTATGTTTTTATTATTTGTCTATAGAAAAATCATTTTTTGGACTTTTAATCAAATTACTGTACTCTAGTCAAAAACTTCCCTAGAGAAGTTGAAAATGTCTCATTTTTTTTGTTTTACAGAACCATTTGCTCTGTCATTCTATGTAAATCAAACAAAATTACATTTATACATTTTGAATGTTGTTCGAAATAATTTTTTCTACTCGAATAACTCTATTTGGATTGTTTCTAAAACTTCTAGTCAGGGAAAAAATATTGAAAACAAATCTTATTTCATAATCAATATTGCCAGTTAAACTTAAAATCTATTCATATATCATCATTATGATACAACTGATTCCAATTTCTAATGAATTTTATTTTCTTATTCATTTACATATGATATGATACAACTGATTCCAATTTCTAATGAATTTTATTTTCTTATTCATTTACATATGATATGATACAACTTGATGAGCTTTTTTTTTGTTTACAGGTATTGACAGCAGCATTCATAATTTTTTTTTCAATGATGATCACTATTTTAGTAGCAGGCTAAACATTGTTTGCATTTTTAAGTGAAATCAATTCGTTTGTTGCAATATGTTGAGTTTTAAGATGAAACGAAAAAAGTTGTAGAATAATAATTGTATTACAAAAAAAAAGCGGAAATAACTTCGGTAGTCCGAGATACAATTTCATAGATAGAATTTTTCTCATTGAAATAGAACCATTCGGTTGCTACTGCTACTGAAAATAGCTGTTACAAAAATAAATACAATGCAGATTTGATCCAAATACCATGAAAATAATGATAAGAATCCGAGAAAAAATCGAATAGAAGAAAGTAAGCAATAGTATTCCGTGTCAATGATGCATAGCCTATGTTCATGTGAATTGATATGTATATGGTAAGAATGACTTTCAATCGAGAGATAAAATCAAATAAATGTTTATTTTCTACAATAATATGTGATTTGAAATTTTTAAGAATTCGACAATATACAAGACCAATAGTAAGATATAGGTGGAGGGCCAAAAAAGAAGCATAGATTATGATTTCAAATATTTTTTCTTCTTGAATATAGAAAATTAAATAGCCAACAATGGCTGCTTTTGTAATTATCCATAGTAGAACATGATAGATGGTCAATAAATATCGAGCTTGAATCGGTGCACAATATTAAAGATAGTCGAAGACAATAACAATAGTTGATAAGAGTCCTTCATAGGTGCGTGCTTCTGGATGGTTAACACAATGGTACC